AAAGGCTGGCTGGGTAGGTTTGCTCTTTGTTGGGCCGAGTCTGAGCTGCTCTCCTCGTGCTTTGCCCCCGAGGGAGTGGATGCAGACGGAGAAGAGGAATCTCTCCTGGGGACATTCACCTACAACGTGGAAAAAGAGCCCATGCAGACCTTCCCTCTGAAGGTACGTTCCATGCACGGGGGACAGATGCCAGGGAGCAAAATGGGTTTGCCTGCAGGTCCGTGGCAGGAAGGGCAGGAATGTTTCCTCCCTGGTCATGGAGCATTGCTGGCAGAGATCTGCAGGGGCTTGCAGGGCTGAGTTGCCAGATGCACATGCAGCCACTCCACCCAAGCAATGACTCTGTCCCATGGAGAAACGGGGACGAGTGGTGGCACAAGCTGTCAGGCATCACTGGTGCTCCACCCTGTGACCTGCTGACAAGCTGGGCAGTGTCCTCCCAGCACATCACTCCCCTTCTCTCCTGCTGCTCTCAGTCTGCCAGGAGGAAGGCAGGCAGAGGGGATGGCAGGAGCTCCGTGGGGTCACAGAGCAAGGGGCAGAGGGAAGGGGCAGAGGGAAGGGAGGTGCAACCCTGGCCGGTCCAGCATGCAGAGGACGATGCTGAGTGCCTTCCCTTGTCCCCAGCCCCCCCAGCAGCCTCAGCTGTCCCCTGCTGCTCCCACCTGCCTTCAGGAGCACGTTCCTGAGCAGGACGAGGGCTGGCAGGCTGCTGATTTCGTGTTGATTTCACTGCTGCTTTCAGTGCTCCCGTTTTCACTCTTCCCAGGACGTGCTGCCTCCCAGAGCAGAAGCCTTTTCATATGTCAAACTCCTTGTGAAGAGCAACTGGGGAAACCCGTGGTACACCTGCATTTACCGAGTGCAGGTTCATGGAAGGATGGAAAACCAGAAAGCCTCAACCGACATCCAGGATGAATAAGGAAGAAAATGCAGAAGAAGAAAGGGGTGAGGGGTGTGAGGGACTGAAAAAAAAAAAAGATATTAAAAAGTCATCAATGGCTTGAAACTATTCTGGGTGGGGCTGGGGGCAGGGAGAGAGGGCAAATTCTGCCGAGGGGTGCCACTGCCAACTGTGAGCTCAATGCATTCCAACCCTTCTATTGCACACAATGCCAAATGCCACCCCCCACCTCCACCTCTTCTGCCCCTCCTGAAGAGCCTGTCACTGTCCAGAAGAACTTTCTGGGTGAAGAACCTTCTGGGTGAAGAACCAGAGCCCAGAAGGTGGTCAGGCACTGGAACAGCTTCCCCAGAGAAGTGGCCACGGCACCAAGCCAGCTGCCTGACACACGGTGTGGTTGTTGTGGTGATCCTTTGCAGGGCCAGGAGTTGCAGGAGTTGGACTCCATAATCCTTGTGGGTCCCTTCCAAGGCAGGACATTCCCCAATTCTATGATTCTATGACTGGTTATTTCCAACCCATCTCTTCTAAACACCTGACACAGGTGTTTATGTGTCCTGTACCAGAAAAGGCAGAGTGGAAGCCACAAGTCCAGGGTTTAAGATGATGCCACAGTGCATGGAAACCTCTAGTCCTTCACCACAGATGTGTAGGGAGAGACTAATTTGTGCTGTACAGCCTAGCACTGTTGACTAAAATAAATAAAGCCTTAGGCCCCAGGAATTGTATTTTAGCCTTTATTTGATCTGCAGAACTGTAAGCAGTAGATAAGGATGTATAAGTAAAACTTTAACTACAGGAGATCCTGTAACCAAAGGCAACAAAATGTTTCCAGAAACGGACAAAAAGGGGGCCATGAGGCTGCTAGAAGGAGTCAGAAGAGAAGAGCCCTGATAAGAGCCCTGATGTGGCAAACAGGCTTGGATGAGCAGAAGTACCATCTGGAAATCAAGTCTCCTATAGAGACTATAAATCCTTTAACAGCTGGCAAGCAGGGCCTCTCTTTGGAGGCACCAAAGCTCAAGTTGTAACCACCACTGCATATTAAACATAGCAGAAGAAGGAGCCCTCTTTGATTCTTTTTATGAAGCACAGTTTAGGGATGAGCCCTGTTGCAGTGGCCTCTGGCTTATAATTCCTGCCATGGGTGGGATGGCTGAAACCCAGCAGTTGGAAGGGTCTGTGGAAGGATATGGTCTCAATCCCCTGTTTTCCACAGGCACTGTAGTGACCTGTGTGGTTATTTTTCTCAGGCCAGTTTTTCCTGTACTCCCACTGTACCTTTTCCTTTTGGTGCTCACTGTGCTGCCTTTGTGGACTCTATTGTTGAACCTCATCTGCCCGGGTAGTTTCCCTTCTCCTCAGACCACGGGAGGATCACGGGTTGCACCCTCCCAGAAGCCATGCCAGGTTCATGAAGGGCAAGAAGGGGACATGAAACAGTCAGCATGGATTGACCAAGGCCAGCTTGTGGCTGAGCAACCCGATCACCCACTAAGATGACACATCTAGTTCTGCGGCTGGAGGGAAAGTAGCACTTCCAACACATTATCTTAGATAAGAAACTTCTTTAATCAGTTGCTTCAAGGCCCTGATGTCTCTCTTGATTGCCCTTAGACTTCTTCTGGTTGTTGGCACTTCATAACTGCCCACAGCCTCTCCCCCACCCACCTGTGTCTGCACTTGCTTCACCCTTTTGCTGGTTCCCTAAAGCTCCCTGTGTCACTGAAATTTGGGAATGAACCTCCTTAACACCAGCGTAGCCTTAGGCAGGCATGGCTTTATTACACTGCCTGATGCAGGAGCTCCTGACTAATGTGCATCCCTGGCTCAATGCGGGAAATTTATTTATTGGACAGGATATTCATCAGCAAAGTGTTGCAATTTGTTCGTTGTTCATCGTCTCCTGATCCACGCTGAGCACTTCTGCATGTGAATCGCTCTCTCTTTTGCACACTTTTGTTATGAATGTTGTTGATGTTACTGTTCATTTTCTTATCTCATTGCTGTTTCCAGTAAATGGTTCTTATTTCAACCCGTGATCTTTGCCTTTTGTGCCTCCTAGGTGGTCGGGAGGGAAGCAGCTCATGGTCTTTTTAGTGGGAGTACTAAATTGGGGAATACCACTCCTAAACCACGACAAGGGGGGACAGAGCCAGGACAGCTGATCCCCACTGGCCCATGTGGCATCATGCTCAATGTATAAAGCTGAGGGAAGAAGGAGGAAGGAGTGGGACTTTTGGAGAGGTGGTGTTTGTCTTCCTAAGCCACTGTAAACATGTGGTGGAGCCCTACTTTCCTGGAGGAGGCTGAACATCTTCCTGCTGATGGGAAGAAGTGTGTTAAATATTTATTTTGCTTTGTTTGCTTGCATGGCTTTTGTTTCCCCCATCAATCTGTCTGTGCCTCAACCCATCAGTTGTCTCACTTTTAAACTTCCCATTCTCTCCCCCATCCTACCAGGAGGGAGAGATTGAGGGATTTAGCAGAGTACTGGGGTTAAGCCATGACACCCACACAAGGCAACTACAACCTTTGGTGCATGATACTTGGAACAATATCAAACTGAGGACTGTTGGATTGCCTGTGGAATGCCTCAGCCTTGCAGGACCAGTGAAAGAGTTACTGGCACCTTCCAGGAATTTGGTTTGGAGCTTGGCCCGCTTCCTTATTGGCTTTTTACTGTAAAGACCGCCCAGACTTCCCAGCCATGCTTGCTCAGCCAGCTGATCCTCCTCCTGGACGCAGGAATAAAAGGCAGTCCTTGGCAGACTGGCAGCTCAAGTTGCTTTGGCACGTCTTGCTGTGGACTGCATGATGAGCAAGTCAATGCTGTTCCTCGGCTTCCTTGTTGCCTTCCTTGGCCTGGCTCTGCCAGTCACCCAGGGAAAAATCATCCCCCGCTGTGAGATGGTGAAGATCCTACGTAGGAACGGATTTGAGGGCTTTCAGGGCAGAACTGTTGCTGACTGTGAGTATAATCAGCTGCCACTGGACCTCTCTGCCTGTACCACTCTTCTCCCCCTCAACTTCTCTGTGATGTTCCAGCAGTACTATTCTGTCCCTCCATTTCTTTGACTTCACCATCTCTCTTCCTCATCCCCTTCCTTCCTCCTGTGTAAAGTTTACACAACAAATACCCATCCAGAGTTTTATCCTTCCAAGCATTTACCCATCCGGTTCTCAAGCTTGCAATACCACCAGTTTAATTACTTCTTCAGCACTTACATTCATCCTTAATCCTTCCATCTCTTGCCTTTTATTTACCCTGAGCATTCCCTGACGTTCTCCTGTGGGGTCTCTCCCCCTCCTGCAGGGATGTGCCTGGTGAAGTACGAGAGTGGCTACAACACCAAAGCCTACAACAACAACGGCCCGAGCAGGGACTACGGCATCTTCCAGATCAACAGCAAGTACTGGTGCAACGATGGCAGGACCTCTGGATCCAAGAATGCCTGCCACATCTCTTGCTCAAGTAAGTGGTGAGACAGAACAAAGAGACTTTCATTGTCCACTCCTTGAGAGCACCTGATCTGCCCGTGATACCTGCCCAGCAGCCGCTCCGGGCATTTCTCTCCGTGTGTCCTTCCATTCATCCATCTCTTCTCAGTGTCCCTTCCTGATGAACACCTTTCCTTCTGCCAGTCTGTCCCTGCTCTTCCTCTGGCCCTCTTTGCTCCGTGCTGACCGTTTCTCCTTTCTCTACAGAACTGCAAGACGATAATATCGAGGATGATATTCGGTGTGCCAAGAAGATTGCTCAGGAGGCTCGTGGCCTCACTCCCTGGTAAGGGTTTTTGCAGTGGACACTGGGGAAGAGTGGGCAGAGGAGATTAAAAAAAAAACCATGCTACTAACTGGGGGTGGAGGGGAAGGGAGAAACGGGTGAGAAGCTGTATTTGGTAAAGGTTAGCACAGTCCTTCTTCTAGAGCTGAAAGTAGTGAGGAGTCCTCACTTTCAGCTCCCTAAATTTCCCTCCTCTCCCGGAGATCTCCCTTTTTGTTCTTTTCTCCCAGCTCCCTTAGATTCTTTCACACCCACCTTTTTCCACCCCAAGACTCTCAAAGACTAACCAAGTGTGTTTTTATAACCAATTCAACTCTCAAATTGCATAATGTGTTTGTTCTCCAGGTACGGCTGGAAAAACCACTGCCAGGGCAGAAACCTGAGCTCCTTTGTCAAGGGTTGCTAAATCACTCCACCGGGCATCGATTGTTTTCTCAGCATCACCAGAGGTGAAGAGTGAGAGTGTTTGGAAAGGAGGCTATGGAAATGGATGGGTGTGGGGACTTAAAAGCAGCATGTTGTTAAGGTGGAAAGGGTGCTGGCTATGCTGACCCTGGGAGGCCTTTGCACTGCTGCAATGCAAATAGAGAACTTAGAGCTGGTGGCTTAATACAAACAAGGCTTAGCAGCAGGGCACTACAGGTGGAATTTCAGCCATTTACTTGCATAATCCCATCCCAAGATTCTGTTGCCTTGACTAACAGGGCTTAGCAACATTTAGTGTTTCTCTCTCCCTTTTGTGCCTTTCTCTATTCTCATTCTCCTTCATCCCTCCCTTCCTCCAGTCCTCTCTCCCTTTCCTTCATTTTTTTTGCCCTTCCTTATTGGAGTGCCTGAAGTGAGAAAACACAAAAATTGATGAATGCTGTATAAGACCTGCAGAATTGTGTTGCCTTATGACTACAACAGTCACTGACTACAGTGGGGAGTACAATTCACTGTCAGAGAGAGAAGAGAAACTACAATGAAACACGACCTTGCTCCTTAAATTTATCTGAGCATCTGCTCCTGGCTGGTGTGAGGGACAGGGCACTGAAACATATGGAGAAATGGCCTGGCTGAATGCAGCTTTTCTTGTCATCCTTTGAGGAAGCTGATCGAGCACAGGCAAGAAGGCAGGCAGCATCTCTGTGAGGAAACTGTGGGCTGGAAAACCTGTTGGGAAAGGGAAATGTTTTGCCATTTAGTTAGTGAGTCCTTTTTGCAGACGAAGGCTGGATCCAGGAACAGTGCACAAATGGAAGGTGACATCACTGAAACCACATTTGTTTCT